CGCCCCCAACCCCGGGGCCCCTTTTCTTGCCGCTCTTCCCCGTTCGCCTACTTTCTCTCGCGTCGCTGGACTTCCGCGTGCTTGGCCCCATTCAGCAGACAATCTTTGAAGAAGTCCGACTCGCCTCTATAGTTTCGCGTCCCCGCCTTTGCTGCCGCTGCGTCGCTTCCGCCCGGCGGGGGTAGGCAACCGGTACTGTTAGCGACGTCGAGCAGACGCTGATGGACTTCCACGAACTCACCATATGAGGAATAGCCGTAGACTTGTCCCGTCTGCAGGATACCTACGGATGAATCGAGTGTGCAAGAAGTGGCAAAGCAATTTAAAGAGTTCAGCTCTACTTGCAAGTGTTCAATCCGTAGCTGGTAAAACTAGTGTTTAATGTTGTACGCCCTTTGGTGTTTAAGTTCAAGTGTGCATTTTCTCAACACATAGTGGTGTTTAACTAGGTCAAACGTCATTTAAACTTTCGACACTACCGAAAAGTATAGCAGCTGCACATCAGATGGTTCCTATAGATTTGTGTCTGTCCAAGTGTGCAGAACCTAAACTTTTACAAAACGTTTAAAATGTGCACACCACGCAAGTGTGCAACTTGAACTACAGACCATGTAATGTTAAAAATCATAACTTGCACACGTTGGTGTTTAAATTATGCACTTGTTTTACCAGTGATGTGCAACTTGCAAGTGCACTTGCATCACTTCCCACCCAGAAAGGCGCCCCCTACAAGCAACACCAAGAAAAGCTTGTTCTTGATCAAGCACATTATGCTTGAATCAAGTGCCAACGACAGTTGAGAACAGCACTCAAAATACAAGAGCACGCTTTTTGGGGTGAAGTGTTCAACAAAGAGGTTGCAGACTACTGAGTGCACAACTACTGAGATAAACATTAAGCACTAGCAAGTATTTTCCGGTTGCACACTTTCGTTCATCAATGAAGAGGTGGGAGGATCCGTTGTTCATGCCATGCCATACCCCTTCCCGTGACCAGTGCGGCAGGCGCAACGCACAGCGCAGCGTGGAAAAACGAGGTTTGATTACAGCTCACGTAGCCTCGCGCAGCCCCCCTCCCCCTCCCCCCTCGAGCGGCGGGGAAGGGGGATGTCAGTGGTAAAACTGCGCGCTCTGGAAACCCAAGTGTGTACTTGAACACACAATATTCTGCATACCTACATGTATGCAGAATATTGTGTGTACTTGATCAAGTACACAGAATATTGTGTGTACTTGATCAAGTACACAGAATATTGTGTGTACTTGGTCAAGTACACACTAAGTCTCGTGCATAAATGTATGGAGGTTTTAGTG